TGATGGTATTGGTTCCTGCCAATCGTGATTTCTCAATCGATGCACTCATTTGGCCGAATATTCGACGTAAAACCACTCATCGCTGGCACATCGGGATTCTAAAATTCCAGCTGGCCATGGTCTATATTTTTGCTGGAATAGCAAAACTTAACAGTGATTGGTTGTTTGATGCCCAACCTTTATCCATTTGGCTACAGGCACATCATCACATTCCGTTTTTTGGTCAATACCTCGAAGAAAAATGGGTAGCCTATGCCTTTAGTTGGTTCGGTTGCATCTATGACCTGTTCATTGTCTTCTTTTTATTGAGTCATCGCTTGCGAAAATTTGCCTATTTATTCGTGGTTAGCTTTCATATCATTACATGGTGGCTCTTCCCGATTGGCGTATTCCCATGGGTGATGATTTTCTCGACATTAATCTTCTTTTCCAGTGATTTTCATGAACGCATTTTAGGTGTTTTTAAGTCATTTTTCCCGAAAAGATCGAGCAAACTTTTTCCAGTTCTTAAACCGGCAAGATGGACCCGCTACTTTTTGGTGATCTATATTTTCCTTCAAATCATGATCCCTTTCCGATACATGATGTACCCGGGAGACCTGTTCTGGAACCAAGAAGGCTTTCGATTCTCTTGGCGCGTGATGTTAATGCACAAAGAAGGACATGCTACATTTTATGTTCGAGATGCGGAGACTGGTCGGGAATCAGAAATCAATAATGCGAAGTTTCTGACACGCACACAGGAAGATCAAATGGCTACTCAACCGGATATGATTCTTCAGTATGCTCAAATTCTAAAAGACTATTACGACGGTCGGAAATTGCATTACGGAGATCAGAAATTTGAACTTAAGAATCCTTCCATTCATGCAGAAATTTACGTGAGTTTGAACGGAAGACCGTCACAACTTTTCGTGGCAAAAAAACATGACTTATCTTTGTTGCCCTATAATTTAAAACATAGAGAATGGATTGAACCGTTCACCCCATGAAATGGTTCCTTAACATATTGATTTTATTTCTTCCGATTATTTCGGTTGCACAAACGGTTAGCGGGTCGGTAAAAGATGATCAGAGCATTGGTATTCCGAGTGTTAAGATTCGCAACACGCAAAACAAGCAACTCACAAAGACGACAGAAGAAGGAGCATTTACAATTCATGCCGTTCCGGGTGATGTACTGGAGTTAACATCAATTGGGTTCGATACTTTACGCTACGTTGTTCCAAAGAAGAAATTCAACGATCTCTCCATCAAAATGAGCGGTCGCTACCAACAATTTGAAGAAGCAAACGTCATCCGAAAGCGATTGGCAGATTTTGACGTCGGTTTTCTTCCTCCGGTTAAAGGAGTTCAGATCTATACCGGAACAAATGCTGTCATTGAATTGAGCAAACTGAATGGAGCGAAATCAACGGCAAATCCACGAGAAATGTTTGCCAAAATCCCAGGACTAAATATTTGGGAAAGTGACGGTGCAGGAATTCAAATTGGAATCGGTGGACGTGGATTATCCCCAAACAGAACGGCCAATTTTAACACACGACAGAATGGATACGACATCAGTGCCGACGCGCTTGGTTACCCTGAGAGTTACTACACTCCTCCATTCGAAGCATTGAGATCAATTGAGATTATTCGTGGGTCTGCATCCCTTCAGTTTGGAACACAATTCGGTGGATTGCTCAACTTCATCATTAAGGATGCACCAACAGATACACCGCTTGAATTCACTACGCGAAATACAGTTGGAACTTAC